ACCTTCCGGAAGAAGCTTTCCTTAAACCCAAGGTGGGGCTAAGTCATTCTATCATTCTCCTCTGTGCTCTTTATTTGATGCTGGAAGTGTGTGTGTATGTGTGTGTGTGTGTGTGTGTGTGTGTGTGTGTGTGTGTGTCTCCATCTTGACTGTCACTGTCCAGGGACAAAACTGCTCCATATTCCCACTGGTACCACTTCACAGAGTAGACCCTCAGTGCGTGCCTGTGGGGCCACAGATTACTCTTTTAGTTCCTTATCCCTCCCCTACCTGGTGAGGGTTACTTACTGTCATTAGTCTTTGTCATCCTAAAAGCTTCTTTAGGTGTTTGCTACAGAGGCTGGCTCCTAATAGGTGTCCTTACCTGACAGGTAAGAGGTCTCACAGGTTCAAATTAAAGGTTGGGTGCCTGGCATTTTTGTGAAAGAGATATCTACGAGAGAGTCCTCAAATCTCACCAAAATGTTTTGTTTTAGTGCTTAGTAACATCTAATCAGTAATAAAATATACAATAAGAGTTAGTTGTGAGGTAGTGTTCCATTCTGGTATCCAAGAACACACAGATACCCTATAAAGCTTATAAAATCTGAATGTAAAAATAAACTTGTAGGAATACCTATAGATAACCAGGGAACCTAGGGGTGTCTATAAAGTCTGGTAATGGATAATATTATTCTATTTCTTGTTACAGGTTGAAGATGTCCTTGATGCCATTGTCTTTGTTCACCTGTTTGCAGACTTCACCGCAGAACTGTTTGCTTAAGGAGAACTCATTGAAACTATTGATCGTGTGTATCAACACCACTGAGAGTGACTGATTCTTTGATCCGCTTAGGAAAAGTAGACTTGTAGCCCCACATAATCACCAAAATCTAATTTTGACAAATGCCATGTCAAAAAAGGGAGACTTCTGAATTCCCTCTGGAAACTGGAGCTCTCGAAATATGGGAAGAAAGCACTTTGAGGATCTCAGCAGCCCTTCTGGCTTCCGTTGCATGCATATTACACAGGGTTTGGAGGTAGTCCTCCGAAATATTAGCTGAAAGCTTCCTCAGAAAGCAAATCTTTCCCACATCCTTCCCTGCAGTTCCTCTTTAAGAGGTGTCAGCATGGCTGAAAGAATGAAGTGGCCGCACATTGTCTGGCGGTGCTATTATGTGCTTAACATTTCCATAACAAAAGTGCCACTCGACTTCTCCCCGATTAATGCAGCTCGAGGGCTCTTGTCGGCCTTTAATAAAACATTGTTGAAATCATTTATTTAGAGCCCCTGGTTACTAGTGGGAGAATGACCATCTTTGTGCCAAAATATAGTGTATACAGTCCACTATTTTGTAGTAGATCATTCTGTTATTTAAGAAATTGATTAAATGGATGCCCTAGAAGGTATTTATGCTAATAGCACATTACTTATGTCATTCAGATAGTCAAGGGTGAACCTTTTCAACTGTCCAGCAGAGACAATCCCTTAAATAGAATACAGTAGCATCCAACTTTACTTAACTCACAAGGCTGCCAGACCCTCTGGAAACCCAGTCATCCCAGAACTACTCTGGGGCCATGAGGCATTTGTTACAGGCTGCCTCCCCACAAGCTTGCTTTGGGGATCTGGGAGAAATGGGGTCCATTGACATGGTTTTTGATGTTCTTTAGTGTAAGAAGTCAAAAAATAAATAATGTACCCTTTTCATTTTACAGGTTCAAAAAGGGATCCATGAGGTTATATCTGAGAACTTCTGCTGTGGAACCCAGTAAGATAATAATACAAAGCCGAAGTTTGAAAGTAGAAAGCTTTTAGTGCACATCTTGATGTCTCTGAGGGTTCTCCTGATGCTTCTCTTTTTATTCTACACAACATGGCGCTGCTGGATGGAGTGGGGATGTGAATGCAAGAGTGATGACGAGGGGCACCCCACTCCTGTGGTTTCTCTTGACTCTTTGAGACAGATGCCTCTGGTTCTGAGTTGTGTCTTCACCCGTAGGGCCCCCTTGGGAGAGTCGCGGTGCACCCCGGATATGTCAGAGTGTGGTGGCCCCTTAAGTTTGTGGCAGAAGGCCCCAGGATCTGCGTACTTATGGACATTTGTCAGGACCTTGCCTAAGCACAGGGATGTTCTCCTGCTTAGTAGGAGAATTTATCCCCTCCAGCCATTTTTCCCTCTCACATATGTGTATTGCTGGCATACCTTGCTATATATTGTTAAAAATAAACAGAGACCTTATGTTATGTCCATTGTGGTCATAAACAAAAGCGTTGCTCTGTGCTTGGGTGAGCAGTGAAGCCTGAACCTCCTTCTATTTACTGTATGGTCACTGTCAGTTCAATGAACTGCCTCCTTGTTCTCCACCATTGTCCCACACTCCCTTAAACATTTGTCACTGAAGTGCTTCCAAAGACAAATAAACTGTCACTGAGAATGCAAACCTGCTAACGGAGGAAATGGGACCAGACTCAAGGACACATGATTTTACATGAAATCCAAAAGGAGTTCTTGAGCCCTTGCAAGACTTACAAGAAACATGGCCCTTTTCGAGAATCCCCAGGAAAAGCCAGAGATACCTTTTCTTTCAGTAATGGTCCTTCCAGGCATTCTCTGTGAGACATTTGGCCGTCTCAAATGTCCAAAATTCCAAAGCTTCCCCAGAGAGCATAAGATATGACAGATGTCCACATCTGTAAAAATTCTTTCTGCCCCGGAGCAGATAGCAATGTACAATCCCATAGTCAAAGGTTCTACATCTCAGCAACCTGTTCTGGAATCCACTAGGTCTGTAGACGAATGAGGGGGCTCCTGGGCTCTAGTATAGAACTGTTTAAATTAAAATGAGCCACCGATCAATGTTCACTTTCTTTAAGGAAGAAAGCATAAAGCCTCGTGTCCTCTCTCCCCAACAGCGAGCTGTGTTGATTTATTCCAGGCAGATGCTTTTGACAGGACCCTGTAAAATCAAGTCGTGAGTTTATTGTACCAGTTAATTATCAGGCCTTTTCTAGTGCTAATGCCTTTTACTTCTTACTGGGGAAAACTGGGCCTTTTACTGGGACAAAGACTTAACTTTTAGTCAAGAATGTGTTAAAATAACAGGAGATGGAGATGATTTAAATATATTTAAGGACGAATGCAGGAGCATTGCTAACTTGAAGTTTGTAAAGAAAGCTGATTTCATTTACAAGTCTCTTGGAATACTCTTTGTTCACTTCCCAAAGAAACAACGCTTCCAGCTTTGTTTTAACAATATGTGTACTCAACCATTCAGGTGACTGAGGATTGCAGCCACACACCACTCTACAACTATCTCAGACTTTCTGATGCTACACATATACCAATCTTGGTTTTAGATCCAATAAGAAGTGCCTCAAAGACTTCCATGAAAGCTGGGAAAAGAGAGAGTTAGAGGCAAAAGAAACCTGGAAAGTAGGGGTGGGAGTGGGGTGGGGGGAGCTGGGAAGGGGGCATAGCTTTGTTAATTACTTCAGGCAGCAGAGAAATCTGGTTATGTTTTCTCAGTACATGTTAATATCATATAAAGAGACACGAGATCTTGCTAATCTGTCGACCCCTCAGACAAAGTTTATTTGTGGTGACTTTTAAACTCCTGACTCGCCTTCCAATCACCGCATTTAAAATGAAAAGCTTTAAATAAACACCAGGAATAGAAGATAAATAAACTTTTTTTTCCCTCTTGCAAGTGCCTAGCTTGGCAAGGTTCAGACTCAAATCCCCAGAGGACAGAGCGCTCTCTTTTGTGTTAATGTTTAAAAGATTTTCCAATGCCGGAGTTTATTCCTACTGCAAACATTTCTATTTACAAGGTCAAGTGTATCAGCACTCGACACAGCTTAAGAGTGTAATTATTTATCTAAGGGCGTTTGAGTGTAGATCAGTAGCTCTGGCAGGAACCCAGCCTTCAGCCCACTGCTAAACAACTCCTCACAACAATATTACAAGTTCTGGTGATTGTTCCTCTCCCCAGTGTGTTTACTTTTGCCCGCCTGAATGTTTTTTAACAAAATTTTGTACTTTTTCACCCGAAGTGTGAAAATGACTTTGAAGGGGTGTCCCAGGTTTCCTAAGACCTATTGGTAACAGATGTTATTGGCATGTTTGATTGTATGAGAATGTCTATAGCTAGATAGGACCTTCCTGGAGGAGGGGCTTCGGAGGGTCTCACTGGAAAACGGGGGAGGAGGAAGAGACCTCTGGGTTATCCCCAAATTGTGGAGCTGAAGACACTATTTGTGAGTTCTCTCCCTAAACGTAAAAACCAACGCAGGCCAGTCAGCTTTATCTTTTTAGCTGCATCATTTACACATGTCTAATTGTTCATTAAATTAGAGGCAGAAATAATAGACCTCATTTCTTGTCTTGTGCTGTATTTTAATTTAAGTTGATGGTTCATATATTCCCAGTGGCCTCTCCACCCCCATCCTTACCCATTATTGGGTAAACCACAGTGTAACTCTGGAAAGCAACTACACCATATTCAGTATTTAAAAACTCTTTACTGATGTACATATTTTAATAAAACAAATAACCAAAAAATACACAAAGCCATAGTTACTTAAAACATAGGACTTTTTTTTTTTAAACGATGTCTATAAAAATACAATGTTTAAGGCAGTTTGGAAATGCATTTATACATTTCTACAATGTCCATAAATTCTCTTGAAAATAACAATGTTAACTTCAAATCTATAAAATACACTGTACATTTTAAGACAGTTCTAGATAGAGCACACTGTACCATGGACTGTGGGTTTGGGTCCCTGGTGACACATGGATTCTATACATTTCAGGGAGGAAAAGTGTAACATGGTTGCAGATTTAAAATTTTAATTTCTTTTTAAAAATAAATTATTTCTGAAGCATACAATTTATAAAAATTCTATATACAAAGTACAGCCACTGGTAACAAATCCCAGTTTTAATACACTTTATATAGAAGTACCAGAGTTTAGCACCCTGATAAAAGCAGAGGCAATATATTTTCTCCGCATATCTGTACATACAATTTGATGTAAAGAACAAAAATGACAAGACAAACATCATAAGAGACTTTCATAGATGGCAGTGCAGAGCTTTTTACATAAAAAGTTGCATTGTTCAACACCACTAGCAACCCTTTAGATCAGCATCTTTTTGACCCTTAATCCTAAGAAATGTGCTAAGAGATCAGAGTGGTGGCAATGAAATTAAGGTCAAGGGCTCAAGGTTACCCCAAACTAATTCAGGCATATTAACCCCTTCCCAATCCCCCTCCCCCGCCCCAAGAGAATTCTGAGCACTGACCAAGAGTAAACAAATGAATCGGTTAGTGGGACTTTTCTGTTTACTCACGATTGCAATGTCCTCACTGGCCACAAAAAAAAAAGTCGACACCGGCACTTCCCCCCCCCCCCGCCCCCGCCTAGTTAAGATGCTAATAAACAGCCCCTTTGCAAATGTAAATCCTCCTTCAAACTCTTGCTCCAAGCCCACTCCTTTGAAACTCTTAAGGCCCCACAGGTCAGTATCCTCTCTCCATATTCCTCCCCGCTCCCCATTCCATCCCCGGCATCCTAAACTCTAGCTAGGCCAGTTTCCGCCTAGCAGAAGAGCTGAGAGTTTCTGGAGCCTGGAATGGGAGGGGAACGATGTCCAAGAAGTCATGCTCGGGAGAAGACACGGGGGAAGTGCCAAGAGTCGTGCAGGGGAGACCCGCTAGGCAGAGTGTACTTAGTACACGCTTTGGAAAGTATTTCAACCACCCTCTCGGTCCCCGTGCCACAGGTGCCCTGGCGCGGACCCTCCCGCAGCCCACGGCGGAGAACGCCAGGACTAAATGAGCAGCAGCGGCAGCAAGATGGAGGCGAGCGGGGTCCAGGCGCCTCCCGGCGCCGAGCGACCGCCGCCGCTGCTCCTGCGCCCGGGCCCGTAGGGCAGGTCCCCGCGGCCGCCCGCCGCTGCAGCGCCGCCGCCCGGGCGCGGCGGGTGCGGGACGCCGTCGTCGTCGTCCAGCGGCTGCTCGCCTCCCGCGCCCCCGGCGCGCTGCTCGTCGTCGTAGTCCTCGTCGTAGTAGTCGTCCAGGCCCCCGTCCGAGCCGCTGCTGCCCGGGCCATTGCCCAGCTCGGCACCGAAGCACAGGCGGGCCATGTTCTCCTTGACCGACTCGCAGATGGGCCGCTCCAGGCCGTCGCACACGCAGTCGTTGAGCAGCGCCGCCTTGGGCACGGCCAGCATGTCCTCGATGACCGTGCGGCACTCGTCTGTGCAACGCAGCCCGTTGAAGAGCTTGCCGCAGTAGGTCAGGTAGCGGCTGAGGGCCAGGTTGCAGCGGCTGTCGCGGTCGCAGCGCCGCCGGGCCTCGGTGCAGCCCATGACCCCGCCCGCGCCCGGGCCGCCCGCGCCGCCGCTGCTCGTCCGGGGCAGGCACGGCTCAATGGCGCGCTTGGTGGACTTGCAGTTCTCGTCCTGCGCGCAGTCACAGTCTTCCAGGGCGGGCCCGCGGCGCGTGTGGTTGAGCTGAATGAGCGCCGAGATGCAGTGGCTCGGGCAGCGCCAGCGCGACGAGAACGAGGCAGCCGAGGCCGGGAACGCGGCGGCGGCGGCGGCGGCCCCCGGCGCGTCGCCCCCGCCGCGCTGCGCCAGCACCGGCGCGCACGCCTCGGCGTACTGGTTGTAGGCGTAGCTGCACTCCGGCTCCCCCTGGCACTGCAGCAGCGCCTGCCAGCAGATGAGGCGGCGGCCGTGCGCCAGCCCCGAGCCCCGCGGCGCCGAGCCCAGCAGCTGCAGCAGCGCCATCAGGCACAGCCAGGCGCCCGGCACGGTCCCCGCGCGGGCCCCGCCGCCGCCGCCCAGCAGCCCTGCCACCATCGCGGGCAGCGGCGGCCGCCGGGCGAGGAGGGGAAAGGAGACGAGGCGCGGGCAGCGGCGGACGCGGAGCCGGTGGAAAAGTTTGCCCCAGTCCTGCCAACTTCTTGCATGAGTGTTTTCATAAATCCATGCGCGCCGCTCGCTGGTGTCGCGCCGCTCGCAGAAGGTCGGGTCGCCCGCTCTTTCGGGCTGCGGTGGCTTCGCAGAAATGCACGGCAGCGGAGAGCCCCTCTGCTCAGCCCCCGGCGGTGGCGGGAGGCGCTCACTGCCGCCCCGGGGGGCTGCGGGCCGCGGGGCCGCGACGGGGCTGCAGGACCGCGCGGCGCCGCGGGTGCATTTTGCTCCGCGCCTGCAGATCCGTTGTGCGGCCGCGGCGGCTCCTTCCTCCCGGACTCAGCGCCGCGCCGCCGCCACCGCCGCCGCCGCCGCCGCCGCCGCCGCCGCCGCCGCCGCTGCCGCGGGCTCTCGCATCGCGCCGCTTCCTGGCTCGCGTCCGTGCGCTGCCCGCCTTCCCGCGGCTCAGGACGCCCGCGTCCCCTCCCCCTCCGCCCGCGGCGACCCCGGCCTCGCAATGCTCCGGGGAGCCCTTTCCGGGCGGCGCGGGAGAACAAGAAACTCGGCGCGGCCGGGGAGCGGCTCCCGGGCTTCCCTCGGCGGCGGCTTCTCGGGTGACCAGGGACCCGGGGAGCGGATCCGCTGAGCCCGGCTGCGGACTCGCTGGCTGCGAGGCTTTAAATACAAAAGTGGGCCGGGAGCCCCCGCGTGGTGCCGCGGTGCCCCCTCATTATGCATGCATGGAAAAGCAAACAAACAAAAACATTAGCAACGCTCCTCCGGCTCGCCGAGCCCCGGCCCCGCGCGCTCTGAGCCTGCCCGCTTTCTCCTTTCTCCACTCTCTTTCGCCCTTTGCTCGGCCCCCTTTCCCGGCTTTTCGAGATGCTATTGGTCCCGCCTGTTGTTGTTGAAACTTTTTTTTTTTTTTTACGAGCTGCTGGAGTGGAGTGGGGTTGCGGAGTGGGGGAGGGCGGGGAGGGTGGTGGGCAGCTCACATTCAGGCATTCAGGGCTTGAAAGGAACGGCTTAAGGAGCCTGACGGAGGCCTGGGAGCTCCTCCTACACTTAAGGAGGCCTGGATATGGAGCCCGGGCTCAAGCTCGGAACCAGCGGGCAGGGCTCAGGGGCAGCTGTTCGCATCCGGCTCTGCCACAGGCCTTTTTGTTGGGGTCTTTTCTTCCTTTTTTTTTTTTTTTTGAGAGTTTTATTAATTCTCCCTGGCTCCCATCTGTGCCTTCGAGTGGGTTCAGAATTCAGTTTGTTTATCTAGTTCCCTATCTTTGGGTCCTGATCAGCAGTGGGGGGGGGGGGGGGGGGGGGGTTAAAGGGGTGGAATCAGAGAATTTAATGTTGGACTTTGAAACTTAAGAAAAACGAAACAAAACTCAAAACACACAAGAAAGAGGCACACGCTTAGGTAGGGGAAATGCTGATGAGATGTTTACAAAGGCCCCGCCCCAGCATAGGGTCCCACTTTGCAGATCTGGCAGGTACGGTTCTTGAGCAACTGATCCTTGTCCGTTGCAAGGCATAAATCCAATCAATCAAATTAAATTTTTTTAGGAATATAAGTTTCTAACTCGGACGGCGATGAAAAAATAATTATAGCATTAAAAATCTTTAGGAATGTTGAGCAGTACCATATGGCCGCAGTCAGAACATAAAGGAAGGGGATAAACTGGCACGCACTAAGGTTTCTAGTAAAGTGTGTGTTTCAATCCGTCCCTCCGTTAAGGGGAGCCGCCTGGGTACAGCAGCCTATGCAATCCAGGCGCGGGAGTTTGCAAACTACCTTAACTGTGGCGCAACGCAGCCTTCAACCACCAGAGGCACCGGGCTTCTGCGGCCTGTCAAAAACTGGCGCTTTTTTCCTCCCCTTTCCGTGGAGAGACTATCAACTCCATCTGTCACAAAAATTAAGGCTAAATCTCCTCTCCAAAAGCAGAGGGAGCCGGGGCTCCAGTGTACTCAGAGTTCGGTCGTCCGCCTCTCCCCTGAGGCCGCGTGAATTAGAAATGGCAAAAGTCAGAACGCAGCCTCAGCGTAGGAAGATCAGGCTGCAAAAAAGCCTCCCGTTACAAGCGGAGACTGCTGCATTCCTCAGAGGCTGTCTAACTCAGGAAGCTTCACCTCTGCAATCCCCCTCGCCGCCCCCCTCCCCAAAAATAAACTTTAAAAGAAGCAGGTTGACTTAAGGCAGACCATGTTGCTCTGATCTGAATAGTAGAAAACAGGCAATATCTATCGTCTATCTATGTGTTTTTTTGTTTTTTGTGGGTTTTTTTTTTTTTTGGTAGGTTTGGTGGTGGTTGTTGTTGTTGTTGTTTAATAGAAAAGTTGCCACCGTGTGGCCCATCAAGACACCCATTTCTCAGGCTCTGGGTTTGTTATTTGGAGTTGTCTCCCTTCTGCCAAGAGGACTTGGGCGAATCGCACTCTCTGAGACGTGAATCATTCACATGTGAGGCTCAAGGCCAAATGAGACACTTGAAATCAAATCTTTTCATCTTTAATGCTCTGCAATTTTAGGCTCATAAGGACAAGGCCAACATTCATCTGCATTTTTCAATTAATGTTTGTTGAGTTCCTTTAGAATGGTGGCTCTCAAATCGTAGTGAGCATGAGACTTGCAGGTTGGCCTTGTTAAAACCCAGACTGCTGAGTCAGCTCCTGGAGTTCCTGATAATGGTAGGGCTTGTGGAGCCTGAGAATCTGCATTTCTAACAAGTTCTCAAGGGATGCTACTGATGCTGCTTGTCTGGGGACCAAACTTTGACAACCACTACTCTAGAGGTCCACGTGCTGATTGTTGTTGTTTGCAAAACTTGCCCATCCTGGCCTTAATTCAGCTCTCAGTGGGATTTAAAGGAGCCCCAAGAGTTTTGTCCCCTCTGGGGACATCTCCACCCCAGTCTCATGGAGTTTCAGGCCTGTGGAGCAATCAGCTGCCTGAGAGACCAGGCCTGAGAAGGAGGCCCTGATGAGATAGGCAAATAAGTAGCGCCCCCCCCCCCCCCCCCCCCCCCCATAAGCTCCTGAGACCATGAGTACACTGTGTCTCACATCCAGGTTTTCATTAACAGTCACCAGACCTCCCAGCCATCCCTCATCACCCAGCCACTAATCCCCATATCACTCGGTACATCTCTTAAATTGATTTAATTCTCATCATGAGCACCTGTCCACCTGAAAATACCCCACTTCTATTCTCGATCTGTTCTCAGCAAAATCTCCCATATTCTCCACCTGCTTTCTGGGCTGGATCTTCACTTTCTTGCTTTAACTAAAATACAGCTGTATCTATGGAGTAGGAGGAAATATTTGCAAACTATATGTATATGCAAAAACATACATATACATGACAGATTATTAGAATAGACATTTTCCCAAAGAAGATATACAAATGGCCAACAAATATATGAAAAGGTGCTCAGCATTGCTCATCACCAGGAAAAAGTGAATCACAACCGCAATGAAGTATCACCCCACACCTGTTAGGATGCCTATCATAAAACAAAACAAGACAACAAGAAATAACAAATGCTGGCAAAGATGTGGAAAAAAGGGAACCTGAATGCACTAATGGTGGGAATGTAAACTGGTGCAGCCACTGTGGAAATAGTATGGAGGTTTCTGGAAAAATTAAAAATAGAACTACCCTATGATGTAGCAATCCCACTTCTGAGCATATATCCAAAGGAAATAAAATCAATATCTCAAAGAGATATCTGTACCCCCATGTTCACTGCAGGATTATTCACAATAAGCAAGGTATGGAAATAGTCTAAGTATCCATCAATGGACAAGGAATAGATAAAGAACCTTTGGTGTACACATAATGGAATATTTGTTGGTCATAAAAAGAAGGAAATCTTGCCATTTGCATCAACACGGATGACCCTTGAAGGCATTATGCTAAATGAAGTAAGCTGGACAGAGAAAGACAAATAGTGTACCATCTCACTTATATGTGGAGCCTTGAAAAACCAAATTCATAGAAACAGTAGAATGGTGGTTGGGGAAATGGCTTTGACATTGGTCAAAGGGGGACAAACTTTCAATTATAAGAGGACTTTCATAATAATAATTCATAAAGCTTTCATAATATTAATATGTACCATATTATTGGTTTATTATTATCACCATGATAATAGCAACAGAATGGTAATTACATGTGGTGAAGGTTAACTACACTTGTGGTGGTGCACACTGGACAATATAGATGTTTATCATATTGTCACGTCAAACACTTTAAATGTACACAATGTTTTTTTTTTTAATGCTTTATTTATTTTTGAGAGAGAGAGAGAGAGACAGGGTGAGCAGGGGAGGGTCAGAGAGAGAGAGGGAGACAGAATCCGAAGCAGGCTCCAGACTCTGAGCTGCCAGCACACAGCCCCACAAGGGAGTCAGACCCACGAATGGTGAGATCATGACCTGAGCCAAAGCTGGACATTCAACCAACTGAGCCACCCAGGCGCCCCTAAACATACACAATGTTATATGCCAGTACAGCTCCTCCTTTATCCCTGAGTTTTCTTCCACAGCCCACATGTCACCAGACGCTGGAGCGGAGTCTGTTGTTTCTCCCTTATTCCTACTCCCAAACTGTTGTCTTTCCTCCTCCCTGAACATCTGAACATCTCTAAGTCCTTAACTAGCATTCTGTTAGCATTCTGCCAAGAATCGCTGCTGACTTTTGCACCACCCACAGCCCTTCTCAACCAGGATGGCTAACGGGAACCACAACAGAAAATGAGTTGAGCTATTTCCTCAGTCTCTCATGGATGGTGCATAACCAGTGCCACTCTGGATGCAGGGGACAGACAGTGCATGCTGTGTCGGCCCAAGCATGGCCAGAGAAGTGTCTGAGTAAGACAGATAATGGATTTATTATAGAACTGTGGCCACCTGAGATTATGGAAGCTGGGGCAGCAGGTGGTGCGGTCTGTTCCTTTTGCATCTGGTTTGACCTTGAATTCACTGCGGTCAGCCAGACAGGCAGTGGGGCAGGGAAGCCAGGACAAACTGGAACCCATGAGGAAAACTGGAGCCAGTGGGGATGAACTGGAACTGGTGTCTCCCTCATTATGTCCAATCTTGATGCTGTATGGGATGAACAAATCCTTCTCGGGGGAGCTGACATGCACTTTGTCTGGGACTCAGAGAAGCAAAGCAGAAGGGCCAGAGAGAGTTGAGAAAGTTCAAGTCCAGGTGCAGGCATGTGCCCAACAAGGGGAACTTCAAATCATCAAAGATGGCGAAAGCTCCCACACTGCTGAGGCCCTCCACTACCTGCACAGGATAAAAATAATGTGGCGCTGCTTCTCTTCCTTCTTCAGAATCTGGTGAAGCTCTTTGAACATAGTACGAGGTCACTGGCTTAATTCCTTCAAGTGTGCACTTCCTCCCAGTTTCAGTGCCTGGACCACATGCTTCTGTCCAGACTACTCTGACAACCTTGGCCTCTTTCATTCCTTGACCTTCTCACATTCAACCACCAACTCATAATCTTACCCTAGACCTAGGCATTAACATAATCATGTCACCTGGAAAATCTCCAACTCAGGATTTCCAATTCAACCATTATTTCACTGACCAACACCTCCTGTCTTCCCAGTTGACTCGTTTGGGTCTCCTCAGCTCTCACCTACTCAAGACCTTGCAATTTCTTCTCTTTCTGCAGTCTCAGCTCCCTTTCTACCATTACTGTTAATTCCCAGAAAAAGACTGGGCTTGAAAATATCAAATCAGGAGATAGAATTTAGAGTCAAGAAACACCAAAGAGTAACCTACAATTGTCTATATTCCCTCTGATCTTAAAACAATGGCAACACAAAACAAAACCCAAAACAAACCCTTCCTAGACCCCAAGGGCCCACTCAGTAAGGACCCCATTTCTACAAAAATT